GAGCCATATAGATGTCCCATCTTCTATATGGCTAGATGACAGAATATGTAATTCTATATAACAGAATTTCTCTGAACCATTTTGGAGAGGGGGTGAAAATCTGCAACTTAAAACTTTTTAATATTTTAAAAAATTTGTCACAGGAACATTAGAGACATAGAGGCAAACCCCAGAATTGTAAAGAAAAACGAATGTACTAAGAAATTTTCCGTGCTTGTGGAGGGAGAACCTAGACTCCTCCCTCACTGTGGGGTTGGGGAATGAGTGAAAGCCCAGCGCCTGGCACCCAGTGAAGGCAACTATTGTGATCTCCTAGGCTGGTGAAGGGGGGCTTGGTGCCCAAGGGTCTGGGAAGGGGCGGCTCGGCGTCCCTGCTGTATCCTAGGCGACAGGGTCTGGGCGAAAGGGTGGCGTGTCAAAGGCGGAGCCACAGGCCCCGCCTCCTCTCCTGCTCGGCGCGAGCTCAGGCTCCGCGTGGTTCTCCCAGCTAGCAGCTCGGACCCGGTGGTCCCGAGGCAGCTTCACCTCGGAGCGGCGCTGCAGAGAGAACGGCGAACCCCCAAGGGCTGATGACCTCTCCAAGGAAAAGAGCGAGGATCGCGCTCTGCGGGAAGAACTGGACTCCACCAGCTTCTGACAACCAGCCCGAGAGCCCCAAAGTCCCGAGCCGCAAGTGCGTGTCCCAGCACAGGTAGAGGTCGCCATCCGGCGCGCCATGGCCGCGCCCGCCCGCCGTCTGTGCCACATCGCTTTCCATGTGCCCGCGGGGCAGCCCCTCGCCCGGGACCTGCAGCGCCTCTTCGGCTTCCAGCCTCTGGCGGCGCGGAAGGCCGGCGGCTGGCGGCAGCTGGCCCTGCGCAGTGGCGACGCAGTCTTTTTGGTGAACCAGGGCGCGGGTCCCGGGGAGCCGCTGTACGGCCTGGACCCGCGCCACGCCGTGCCCAGCGCCCCGAACTTGTGCTTCGACGTGGCGGATGCAGAAGCCGCAGCCCGGGCGTTGGCCACGCGTGGCTGCCGCGTGCCGGTGCCACCTGTTAGCGTGAGGGATGCGCAGGGCTCCGCCACCTACGCTGTAGTCAGCTCGCCCGCCGGCAGTCTCAGCCTAACGTTGCTGGAGCGCACCGGCTACCACGGGCCCTTCCTTCCTGGCTTCGGGCCGGTGCCCGCCGCTCCTGGCCCCAGCTGGGTCAGCCACGTGGACCATCTGACCTTGGCCTGCAACCTCGGCAGTTCCCCCACACTCGCGCGCTGGTTTCACGACTGTCTGGGCTTCTGCCCCCTGCCGCTGAGCCCAGGTGAGGATCCAGAGCTGGGCCTCGAAGTGGCAGCAGGGCCCGGGCGTGGAGGACTGCGGCTAACCGCCCTGCAGGGTCCGCCAGGCAGCGTTGTCCCCACCCTCGTGCTGGCCGAGTCCCTGCCGAGTGCTGCCAAAGAACAGGACCAGGTGGAGCAGTTCCTGGCCCGGCACAGGGGACCGGGTCTGCAGCATGTGGGGCTGTATACGCAGAACATCATAGAGGCCACTGAGGGGGTGGCAGTAGCCGGTGGCCAGCTCCTGACTCCACCTGAGGCATACTACCAGCAGCCAGGAAAAGAGGACCAGATCCTAGCTGCAGGGCATGAACCTAGACTTCTGGCCCAACAGGGTATCCTGCTAGATGGCGATAACGACAAGTTTCTGCTTCAGGTCTTCACCAAGTCCCTTTTTGCAGAGGACACCTTCTTTCTGGAGCTGATTCAGAGGCAGGGGGCTACAGGATTTGGCCAGGGCAACATCAGGGCCCTGTGGCAGTCTGTGCAGGAGGAAGCTGCCAGGAGCCAGGAAGTCTGAATAGCTGGGTGCAGCTACTTGTCCTGCAGCTCTGGGAAGGTCAGCACAGGGCCTGCTGGAACTGGAGAACACTCACAAGAGGCCCAGCTAGTGAAAGGCTTTACCCTTTGGGGCCAAGGTGTCACCTGTCTCATCAGCACTTGCCAGAAGTTGAGTCACCAGGCACAAAAGAGATGGGATTTTTTTTTTTTTTTTTGAGTTAGAGTCTCACTCTGTCACACAGACTGGAGTGCAGTGGCACGCTCCCGGCCACCGCAGCCTCGACCTAGTGGGGCTCCGGCAATCCTTCTGCCTCAGCCTTCCAAGTAGCTGGAACTACAGACGTGCACTACCACACCTGGCTAATTTTTTTTATTTTATTGTAGAGATGAGGTCTTGCCAAGTTGCCCAGGCAGGTCTCGAATCCATGAGCTCAGGCAATCCACTCACCTCAGACTCCCAAAGCGCTGGGATTACAGGCTGAGTCACCGAGCCCAGCTAAGGTGAGATTTTTTTAAAACTCTAAAACATTTCCTACCTGCAGTCTGTAATACATATGCGAAATATAAAGAACAATGAAAGAATTGTATGTTCAGAAAATAGATCATAACCAGTACTTTTGAAGCCTCCTTTTGTCCTGATTCCCACACATCCCTCAAATTCTGTGATGAGCCTTTTGGTTTTCTGTATTGTTTCACAATAATATGTATCCCCAATATATCCATAAATAAAAAAAATTTTAAATAGAATAAACCCTTACCTGTGCTTCCCTCCTCCTAGAGAGCAACCACTGCTCAGGGAGAGGGGCTGGGTCAGCCACCTGCTTCAGTCAGAACTGCCCTGAGACCTAGACCTAGACGGTGTTGGGTTTCAGCCACTGGCAGGTGCTTTCTGCAGCTGTCATACTTCTCCCAAGGGATGGGGGAAGAGGGATCACTTTGGGCAGAACACCCCCATGCCTCATCTGCCCAGGGCTGGTTGGGAGCTCAGTCAGTGGAAGTCAGAAGGAAACAGGACTTCACCACTTTCTGGGTCCCTCATAGGTAAGTAGTTAGGGAGTAGGGAGAGGGTAGAAAGCTCTCTAAAATAACTACAAAAATAAGCACTTTATTAACAACAGTATAATCAGAGAGTAGAGGCTTCCAGAGGTATCACTGGGCTGCAGTATTGAGGCTGGGTGCATCAGTGGAGATGTGGGGCCGAAGGAACGTATCCAGGACTTGCTGACCCAGGCTGGGCTTTTTCCGGCTGGATGGAATGGATACCTGGGATCTTTTGGAACCCTGTGCAGAAATGGAAGGAGGGAGGCACTGATGAGAGTGCAGTAGAGACTCCTGCCACCCTCTTGTCCCCACTCTGCCAATCTAGCTCAGGTTCTAGCCTGAATGTTGCAGAGCTTTCAACCTGCCTCTAGTATCTGCCCCTTCTATCAACTCTCCAAAAGGCTGCCAGGGACTCTTCCTAAAATGCAAATTTGACTCCTCCCTCCTCCATCTAAAATACTTCAGCAGCCAGATGTTCACAACTGACTGACCTGAGCAAGCCCTGCTAGCTGCTAACCTCTCCAGCTAAGCTAAGTGCTCATGGCTCCTTGAGCACTGCAGACTGAATTATGCCCTGCTTTGCTCACAGGACTCTTGGATCTGGAAAGAATGTCCTCACTATTTCCCCTCCCAAATCTGAGGATGACTCATTTCTATGACCCAGATGACTAGATGCTTTCTCCAAGCAGCCTTTCCTGATCTTTGTCTCCCAGACAGAACTGATGGCTCCCCACTTCATATCCTACAAAACCTAGTAGACATATTTCACAACCTCTGACACAGGACTGCCCTCATCAATTTGCTTTGTCCTCCTGCCCTGCAACCATACTGCAAGATCCCCAGGTCAAGAACTATTCCTCTCCCTCCAGTGAAGCCTGGAATGAAGGATGTTCACCCAAACTCGTGTCAGTAAACTGAAAACCCGTGAATTCAGGCCTAGGGAGACACGGCTGGGTGAGGGCCAAGAGACTCACCTTGCAGGTCCCTGGTTGGTGGCCCTCATACACACAGAACACCTAGCCAAGAAGAGGGGGAGAGGACAGGGATGGCACCTTGTCCAAAAGAGCCAACTCCCTGTGTTCTGTCCTCGACTTCATGCCTAGCACTTCTGTTTAAAATACTCTTTTTCCCCCCATTTACGTAGTATTAGGTTCATGTAGAACATGTAAGAAACACAAAAAAACACAAGACAACAAAGGTAGTGCCTTTTTCATGGCGGTGGAGATAGCTGCGGTGTGAAATTCCTCCCGGGTCAGCCAGCGAGCGCCAGGTGGTGTGGTCACCGGGGTCTGCCCTTCCAGGGTCAGACCGTACACTTGATATGTCAGCTTGATGTGAGAGAAAGTGTGGACCACCTGGAGGAAGGGCCAAAGGGTTAAAACAGGCCTGTGGAAGTAGCCTCAAAAGCCATCATTCCTGGCCCCTCCACTGCTCACTCACCTCCCCGAGGTACCGGAGGTGGGTGGCCGGGAGGGGCCCAGCCCAACTCTGCAGTTCCTTCAGCAGGGCCTTGCGCTGATGCTGCTCTGAGGGCACCAAGGTCACAGATGGGAACTCCCACAGTCCTGCCAGTAGACCTGAGAGGGAAGGAAGCCAGGTATGAGTTGGACCTTAGCTGCTGACTCCTTCAGGCCTCCCTTGTTGCTCCTGCCACTACCCTCCATGCCCAGTATCAGGGTACCTGTGTTGGGCCTCTGCACCAGCAGAATTCGGGCACCCCCAAGGGCCTTGGGCTGCTCCAGAACACAGGTGGCAGAGCACTCCTCTCTGGGGGGCCTGCGGCTGGTTTTTCGAGGAAAGTTGGCCACTCCCAGGGTCTGGTCCCAGGGCTCAGAGGGAGGCGGGCACAGCTGACACTGTCCAGTGTTGGGAGCTGGGAACAGAGGTCCCAGAGCCCCACTCAGGCCAGGAGGTCTTAGGTGCCAAGCCCAGAGAGAAGGCCCTGGCCTGACTTTGCAGAATCTTACTCAGCTTATAGAAAGAACTGGAATGAGGTTTCCACATGCAGCTCCCTGACAGGGCTAGGCTGGGGTGGGGGCTAGGGCTAGCACTCACCACACTCCTCTACGTCAGGACTGCCCAGCAGGTTCTGTGAGGCTGAGAGCCGCTTACACTCCACCTGAGAGGCACAGGACATATGTCATGGGGCAGCGATCACTCCTTAGGCCCCCTGACTGCCCCTTGCCCAGTAGGCTCACTCTTTGGCGTGCCCGGCACAGGTTCTGCACAGGACACTGGCTGCAGAGTGGGCGCTGGGGGGTGCACACTGTGGCCCCCAGCTCCATGGCTGCTTGGTTGAAGTCCCCTGGCCGGGCTGGGTCCACCAGTTGCTGAGCTAGACGCCTACAAAAAGGAAACATCACTGTGAGCTAACGTCCCTTTGGAGATACCCCTTCCAACTACCCTCGTTGCCCTAATATCCTACCAGAGTAGCTGGGAGACAAGGGTGCTGCTGGGATCAGCACCGATGGCTCGGACACGGCACAGCACCCGTACTACATTCCCATCCACCACACCAGTAGCCTGGCACAGAGAAGCCCAGGAGTCATTGCACTGGGAGAAAGGAGGGTGGGCATGCACAAAGTGGGGGTGGGGTATGGGCTCACCTGGCCAAAGGCAATGGAAGCAATGGCCCCAGCTGTGTACCGCCCCACGCCAGGCAGGAGCCGCTGCAGGGTCTCTGCTGTGTGCGGCATGTGTCCCCCTAGCTCCTCTACCACCTGATTGGGATGGGAAAGTTCAGAATTACCATAGGAGGGTGGAAGGCCCTTGGGCTCCCACCCTGCTACCATCCCCTTACCTTCCGAGCTCCCTCCTGCAGCCGCCGGCCTCGAGAATAGTAGCCCAGACCAGCCCAGAGCTGATTCACCTCCTGTGGGTGGGAGTCAGAGGTCAAAGAGATCACTGGTCTATCCCTCAGTTGTCCCCATTTCCTCTACTCTAGGGTAACTCTCACCTCCAGGGAAGCACCGGCCAGGTCCTGCAGTGTAGGCCACTTCTACAGCCCAAGGCAGGCAAAGGAGACAAGGTCAAGGGTGAGGATGGTGGAGGAAGCCCTTGCTACATCCACCCCAAAATACCACTCTCATCTAATCCATGACCCTCTCCTTCCTCCCCTGGAGTCACCTGCATCCATCTGGTATAGTAGTTGATCACTGTGGCAACCTGGGTCTGCTGCAGCATGACCTCTGAGACCCACACTGGGGGAGAAGGGTTGGCATGAGGGCACTGTTGACAGGTCCTATTCCTACCCCACAGCCCCCAGACCTGAGGGCCTCCAGACTCAATGGCCCTGCTATCAGATGTACTGACCAGCATACGCCCGCCTGTTCAGATCCACTTCATCCTCTGCCTGTCAATGCAATCCCAGATGGGGAGTTAGTATGGAGGGGGCTGGGTGCCAGCCTCCCACCCCACCGTCTCTGTCCATTGCCTGCCTACCTGTCTTCTCCAGGGTAGGTCTCGCTTTTTTCGGTCATACCAGTTCAGCAGGCCCCTCCGGAAGGCTGTGACTTCCGCTGTGTCTCTGAAGAGATGGTATGGGGAGACGGAGGCCTCCACCTCTTCTGGCTGCCTGGCCAGGCCTGCTGGGGCCCCAGAATGCTCAGGAATCGTCTCTGCACAAACTGTATACCAGGTTCCTGGGACACGGAAGCCTGTGGCAGTGCATTCCCTCTTAGGGCATCCCCCTTCCTACTTAAGCTTTGGAGCAGGAATCAGACCAGAGATCTCTCACTGTTTGTGGCTATGGCCAAGTTTCTGCCCTTAATTTTATCAAGGTGGTACTGCTGGCTCCTTTGTCTCTGGGCCATAATGAAAACCTAGTAGTTTGAGCCAGGCATCATGTATATCTGCACAGGGCTTTCCTATTTACAAAATGCTTTCATGTTCATAAACTCATTTGATCCCATGAAAGCCATGTGAGGGAAGAAATACAGAAACTATTGCTCCATTTTACCGTAAGGAAGCAGCCATTCACAGCAATTATCCCAATGTCACACAGCAACACAGTCAGAATTAGACCCTTAATTAGTCTTTTAATGTCTTGATACCATGATTCTTTCCCAGCCTGAAACTGCCCTCTTTCATGGTCAATGAAAACAGCCCTGTGAGCCTTGAGCCATGATGGATTTCCTTACCATCAGGGGCAGAAGTCTTAGCCCGGCTACTGCTAAGGGCACATTTCTTCCTTCCCTCCTGGCTGGCTGCCTGCTTTCTGCGACCACTTCCCATAGCTGCTCGTGGCTTCCTCATGATGGCCTGGAACAGAAAGACCCAGCCAAAGTAGTCATACTGTGGCCACATCTTAAGGCCCTGGAGGGGTGATAGCCACCTCTATCCCTATACCATTTATACAGTATCTAGCTTTTCTCACTCTCATTATGCTCATGGGTTTGCTCTTGGCTGACTATGGCACTGAGGTACGACTAGTATGGCTGCTGAGCAAGTGGCTTGAGTAAAGCCCTGGAAACATGCAAAGACTAAGAAGCCAATGCTTGGATGGGTCAAGGACCAAAGCCTTCTGTTAGTGAGCACTCTCTGTAGCTCTGATGCTTATAGTGACTGTGTGTGAATAGTTGTTTAGGTGTGTCTGTGAGCATGGAGGTGGGAGGTTACTCTGCTTAGAGATGTATCATGGTTATGCTGAAACAGCCTTTAGTAGTCATACAGTCCAAAACCTTCGTTTTATAGAAAGGGGAAACTAAGGATCAGAGATGGGAAAAAAATTTGCCTGAGAACAGATGGCAGATCAGTGGAGAAGTAGAGATGAGCTATTTTTATTCCTAATCTTTTCCTGATGTAGTACATAGAGTTGGCTGACCATTAGTAATGAGAAAACACATCTGGTTGATCATCACTGCTCCCCGACTGTTCTTCTGGCCACCTCTTCTCTAACAGCTAAAAGCAGCTAACACTTAGTAAGTGTCAGACTCCTCGGAGAACTTTACTGGCTCTCTCACTCAATCTCCTGATTGACTCCATGAGGTATGTACTAGTATTACCTCCATTTTAGTTACGAAGAAACTGAAGCTTATAGAGATTAAGCAATTTGTTCTTTCAGATCCACACCCTGCATCTTACACTGTGCTATACTGCAGTCCTGGCAAAGCCTCTGCTTCTGACACTCTAGCCTCCTCTTCCTCAGGGTCCTGCTCCTCTAATTCCTTTCTACTACTGGGGCTCAGAAACTGATACCCCAAAATATGATGCTTTGACATACTGAACTGAAGAAGCCTTAAGGTCTCTTTGACAACCCCGCTTCCGAAATCAGAATGAAATTGCTCTTTGAAGTTCCTTTATCTTCTAAAGTCCAGAACTACCAAAAAGAATGATTGCTGCTTCTCTCCCTTCCTGTAAGACTAAGAACGTAACCACACCTAAAACAAACCTTTTACAAGATATAGTCTGTCTCTTAGGATTATACAAATTCCAAAGAAAACTATTTGCAGGTTAATCTCTGTTCCCAGAGTTATTCATTCTCCCTAGTAATCCTTTATTGCCCCAAAGACAATTCCTTTCTGACCAAAGTTCAATTCAGCTAATTAAAATACAAAATAAAACAATAGAATTTTGGCCAGGTGCAGTGTCTCACACCTGTAATCCCAGTAATTTGAAAGGTCAACTCTAAAGAGTCCCTTGAGCAGGGACAACATAGTGAGACCCTGTCTCTCTCTAAAAAAAAAAAAAAAGGCCTGGCTCAAGCCTGTAATCCCAGCACTCTGGGAAATTGACTCAAGAGGACTGCCTGAGCTCAGTAGTTCCAGTTCAGCCTGGGCAACTTGGTGAGGCCTTGTCTCTGTAATAAACCAAATATAAGCCGGACATGGTAGCTTGTGTCTATAGCTCCAGTTACTTGGAAGGCTGACGCAGAACAATTGCCTGAGCCCAGCAGGTTGAGGCTGCGATGGCCATGAGCGTGTCACCGCACTCCAGCCTAGGCAACAGAGTGAGACTCGACTCCAAAAAAAAAAATTCCCTTTTTCCCCCCATGTATACATTAATACATTTGTATACCTTTTATCCAATTAATTCACCTTTTGTGAGTTGATTTTTCAGCAAACCTTCAGTGCACAATGGGAAAGTGTTTTCTTTGGCTCCTATACAACCAAGACCCATGTTCTTCCTTCTCTTCAAAAACTTCCTTCCAAACTCTTACTTACATATTTCATTCTACAATCCATTCTCCAAAAAACAAAGCAACCTTCCTTCACTTCCTTTTTATTTTTTTATTTTATTTTATTTTTTGAGTTGGAGTCTCACTCTGTTGCCCAGACTGGAGTGCAGTGGCCGCTCCCGGCCACCGCAGCCTCGACCTGCTGGGCTCTGGCGATCCTTCCGCCTCAGCCTTCCAAGTAGCCGGAATTACAGGCATGCGCTACCACGCCCGGCTGATTTTTTGATTTATTGTAGAGATGAGGTCTTGCCAAGTTGCCTAGGCGGGTCTGGAACCCGCAGGCTCAGGCAATCCACTCACCTCAGCCTCCCAAAGGCGCGGGATTACAGGCTGAGCCACCAAGCCCGGCTACTTTTTTATTTTTTGAGTCAGAGTCTCACTCTGTCACTCACAGTCACCACAGTCTTGACCTGCTTGGGCTCAGGCGATCCTTCTGCCTCAGCCTTCCAAGTAGCTGGAACTACAAGCATGCGCTACCATGCCTGGCTTATTTTTTGACTTATTGGTCTCACCAAATTGCCCAGGCTGGTCTCGAACCCCTGAGGTCAAGCAGTCCTCTCGCCTCAGCCTCCCAAAATGCTGGAATTACAGGCTTGGGCCACCGCGCCCGGCTGTTGTAGCTCTAATACCAATTGAAATTTCACATTCACATGATTCTTTTTTGTTGTTTTTTTGTTTGTTTTTTTGAGTTGGAGTCTCACTCTGTCATCCAGGTTGGAGTGCAGTGGCATGTTCATGGCCACTGCAGCCTCGACCTGCTAGACTCTGGCGATCCTTCCTCCTCAGCCTTCCAAGTACCTGGAACTATAGGCGTGCGCTACCATATCTGACTTATTTTTTTTTTATTTATTATAGAGACGAGGTCTCACCAAGTTGCCCAGGCTGGTCTTGAATCCCTGAAATCAAGCAATCCTCTCACCTCAGCTGGGATTACAGGCTTGAACCACCACGCCTGGCCTCATGTATTCCTCCACTGCAGCTCTAATACCAATTGCAGTTTCACTCTCACATGTGATTCTTTTTTGTTGTTTTTCTGAGTTGGAGTCTCACTCTGTCGCCCAGGCTAGAGTGCAGTGGCATGCTCATGGCCACTGCAGCCTTGACCTGCTGGGCTCTGGCGATCCTTCTGCCTCGGCCTTTCAAGTAGCTGGCACTACAGGTGCACGCCACCACTCCCAGCTAGTTTTTTTTTATTTATTGTAGAGAGGAGGTCTCGCCAAGTTGCCCAGGCTGGTCTCGAACCCCTAGGCTCAGGCAATCCTCTCACCTCCGTCTTCCAAAGTGTTGGGATTACAGGTATGAGCCACCATGCCCGACTCACATGTGATTCTTTTGGTCAGTGTCCACTTGACTGTAAAAAACTACATGAGTGCAAGAACTGAGTCTGTTTTGTTAACTATTTGGTCCCACACTCAGTGCCAGGCAAATTTTACGCAATAAATACTTGTTAAATGAATTACTGGGATGGGAGATGGTCAAAGGAGATTTTCCCTTTTTAAGGATGGGAGAAATCCAAGCAGCTCCCCATAATGATGAAAAGGACACAGCAGAGAGAAACATTTAAGATGAACTAGAAACAATGAGTAACAAGGAGAAAGGGTAGGTAAGCCACAAAGGAGATGGGAACTGGATTGCCTGGAGAGGGACTGGTCTCCAGTAGGAACACCTCATGGTCATATTCAATTACCCTCCAGGTCAGTTACACTCCCTGGAATTGCCTTATAATTTGTCCATTCCTCGCCATCCCTACTCCGGGAACTTTGATTCAAATCTAGATTATCACTTAATTGGATTATTTGAAGGGCTTCCCTGCTCTAACCCCTTTACAGTCTCATACAGTGCCTCACTCCCTGCCTCTTTCACTTCCGGAAGAGCACTGAGCTCTCTCGCCATCCTCTCTGGGAATTTGCCTACTCCCAGAACACCCTTCTTTCTCCCACAGCGCCTCTCTCCTAGCCTAACTCCTAAGAGTGCTTTAAGCTCTGCTCAGGCAGCGCCACCTCTGGGAAGCCCAACTGCCCACCATCCGAGCCACGCTGCCGAAGACAGCAGAACACGGAAGCCCCACGCTCCCGCGGGGGGTTGCGGAAAGAAAAGATTACCTCCCGCGCAGTCTCCGGCGCGCTGCTTCGGCGCACTCCAGGGGGCGTGGCTCCGGCCAATCGCGGAGGCGAGCCGACCGCACCAGCCAATAGGTTCTTAGCGCGCGCCGGGGTCCTCCCCGGGGCCAGGGCCCGGAGTTCTGAACGGAAGTCGGACCCCTCGGCCACCCCAAGGGCGAGACCCCGCCCCATCCCCGACGGCCCGAACCGCCCCAGGAGACTAAGCGGAAGTCCCGCGTACCAACAGAAGACTCCGACGGGAGACGCGCAGCGTCATGGCCGCCGACAGTGACGATGGCGCAGCTTCAGCTCCAGCAGCCTGCGACGGTGAGCGGTTTCCCAGGGGTCGCCTTAAAAGCCTGTGCGCCCCGGGGGAGAGGAAGGCCTCGGGCTCATAGTTCTAGAGACAGACCTCCAGCTTCAGAAGACCGGCTTCTTCTGCCTGAACCGGCCACGAGGAGACTACAAGTCCCGGTGTGCACCGCGGCTCGGGCTGCAAAAGCCTGGATTGTTGGAAGCCTGGGGTGTCGGGAGATGTAGTCTGGAGCTCATAGCTGGTAATAGTGGTGATTCAGTTCGGTGGAGAGGGTTGAGCGTTGTGGGCCAAGGAAGTAGGTCATATTGGGAACTCTGGCTTGGGGTATTATTTATCAGATTCTGGGGCAGAGTGGAAACTGTCGCTTATGGCTGCTGGGGCAACATGAAAACAGTAGTATGGATCCTTGTGGGATATTAAGGGAGCTGAAATCCCCAAGCCCAGTAAAAATAATTCCTGCAGGACGTGAGGAAAAAAACCTCAAAGTCCGTCTAGTCCAGCTTTCTCCTCTACAGATTGTGATGCCGAAAGGGGTAAGTAACATTGCCAGACTCATATAAGACCCAGGCTTCCTCTCCCCAAATGCAGGGCACTGTCCACTCCAAGGCCTGTGCATAGAACATGTAGGATACAAAGGCTTAAGGGAAACTGCTCCTCCTCACCACCACCACCATGGCCTGGCTTGATGTCTGTTTCCCTGGGCCCTTGCCTGAGCATGAACATCCATTGCTCTCCTTACCCCCAGGTGGTGTCAGCAAAAGCACAAAATCTAGGGAGGAGCTAGTAGTCCAGGTTCCTGTAGTGGATGTGCAAAGCAACAACTTCAAGGAGATGTGGCCATCCCTCCTACTGGCCATAAAGACAGCTAACTTCGTGGCTGTGGACACGGTAAGAGTTGGGAAACAAGGAATGCAGGTGGTTGTAAAGGGGCTAGTGCTGGGGACCTGTTACAACACTCCTTTACCTACCCATAGGAGCTGAGTGGGCTTGGGGACAGAAAGAGTTTGCTGAACCAGTAAGTATAAGCCCTGTTCTCTTTAGTCCCAGGCCTCAACTGTGGAATGGGAGGGTCCCCATCATGGGTGGTTTGGGTCCTTCATGAGGCCAACTCTCAGCCATAGCCACCCCAAACCCAACCCCAAGGTGCATCGAGGAACGGTACAAGGCCGTGTGTCATGCTGCCAGGACTCGTTCTATCCTCTCCCTGGGGCTCGCCTGCTTCAAGCAGCAGTCAGAAAAGGTATGGACTGATCTCACCCCCATCCCAGGTCTGGCTGCAGGGAGGAGGGCTGAGATCCTGGGAACATCTGGTATGAGGCTTTTTCCTGGATCTTGATGCAGCAGATCCTCTTTTTCTCCCAGGGTGAACATTCCTACCTGGCTCAAGTGTTCAATCTTACCCTGCTGTGCATGGAGGAGTATGTCATAGAACCAAAGTCTGTGCAGTTCCTGGTACAGCATGGCTTCAACTTCAACCAGCAGTATGCCCAGGGCATTCCCTACCATAAGGGCAATGACAAGGTAGGCTTCTAGCTTACTCAGCCTTGAGTCTGCTATTCTGTGACTTCATTTTTTCCTGCCTTTGATTGGATGCCTGGGGAGAATCTGCTTCTTAGGGAGCTTGGGGAATCACTGTTGGCAGGGCTGGGGAAACAAGACTGATATGAGGGTGGGTGATATTGGGATAGGTAGAGAGAGAGAACTTTCCAGGTGCGGGAGTCTGGGATGTGTCCTGTGGAAGAGATTCTAAGGAGGACTCTGTCCTTCCCAGTGACCCTTTTACTTCCACCTAGGGTGACGAGAGCCAGAGCCAGTCAATACGGACTCTGTTCCTGGAGCTAATCCGGGCCCGCCGGCCCCTGGTACTGCATAATGGGCTTATAGACTTGGTTTTCCTGTACCAGAACTTCTATGCACACCTGCCTGAGAGTCTGGGAACCTTCACTGCAGACCTATGTGAGATGTTCCCAGCAGGCATTTATGACACCAAATACGCTGCTGAGTTTCATGCCCGCTTTGTGGCCTCCTACTTAGAATATGCCTTCCGGAAATGGTGAGGAAATGGTTGAGGGGAAGGGGTGGAGCCTAATACAAACCTATTTCATTGACTTAAGATATTTATTGAGCTCTTACCATGTGCCAGGCACTGTTTTAGGTGCTGAGGATTCAGCAGTGAACAAAACAGACAAAAAAAACCTGCTCTAATGGAGCTTATATGCTAGTGGAGCAATTCCTTCTTGCGCTGTTGCAGTGAACGAGAAAATGGGAAGCAGCGGGCAGCTGGCAGCCCACACCTCACCCTGGAATTCTGCAGCTATCCTCCTAGCATGAGGGCCCACATTGACTACCGCTGCTACATGGCCCCTGCAACCCACCGCCCTCATCCCACCAGCGTCTGTGACAAATTCTCGGTGAGAGCACCACCCGTTTCCTGGGCGAGGGGAGATTCTGATGCCTGGAACCCCTTTGTAAGTCTCTTTCCCACTTCTAGGCCTATGGCTGGTGCCCTCTGGGACCACAGTGTCCTCAGTCCCATGATATCGACCTTATCATTGACACTGATGAGGCTGTGGCAGAGGACAAGCGGCGACGGCGACGACGTAGGGAAAAACGGAGGAGGGCTTTGTTGAACCTGCCTGAGACACAGACCTCTGGGGAAGCTAAGGATGGTCCTCCCAAGAAGCAGGTGTGTGGGGATAGCCTTAAGGCTGAGGAAACTGAACAGAAGGTGGCTGAAGATGAAACTAGGAACCTGCTTCACTCAGATCAAGGTCACAAAAATGACTTGAAGATGGAGCTTAAGGCAGCAATGCCTGAAACAGCTGACATGGCTACCACAGAAGTATCAAGGAGTCAAGCCAGTGCTAACCCAGTGCCTGGGGATGGGTTGCACCGGGCTGGTTTTGATGCCTTTATGACAGGTTACGTGATGGCCTATGTGGGAGTGAGCCAGGGACCCCAGCCTTGCAGCTCTGAACCCTGGCTCCCTGAATGCCACAATAAGGTATATTTGAGTGGCAAAGCTGTACCTCTTACAGTGGCGAAGAGCCAGTTCTCTCGTTCCTCCAAAGCCCACAACCAGAAGATGAAGCTGGCTTGGGGCAGCAGCTGACTCAACTTCTACCTAGCACTTGGGTAAACAGAGATGTTTGAGTCCCTCTGGCCTATAAATATCAAACTTTCAACTATTACTGAGATTGGGGGAGGGAGAGTAGTTCTGGTCCTGGTCCTGGTCCTGGTCCTGGCAGAGATACCATTGCATTGCCTTGGACTTCCTCCTTTACCCCAGAGGCTGAGGTACAAGTACAAGTAAGAAGGCTGACCAGCACCTGTAACACCGACTTTATTTATTTTTAAATCTGAAAGTGTTTTGGGAAAGTTTAAAAAAAAAAAATCAACAGAAACAAGTTACGAAAATATTTGACCAGCTTCATCTTTGGTTATTTCTTATTGCTGCTCTGTAAGGACAGACTGTTCCTGAAGCTCCAGCCATAGCAGGAAGGGAAGAAAATCTGTCCATGTATAAACCATTTAACCAATTAAGTGTACCACGTTGACAAATACATAGAGCAGGCCCTAAGGCCTACAAAATCAGCCCCACTCCCAACCACAAAGTTGAAAGTCTTATGGGGCAGAACATTAAGACTTTTATAAATATGAAAATAGATTAATCAACTGGAAAAGGTCTTTGAATAGGTTAGGTAACAGCCAGGACCACCATGCTGCCTTGCCCTCCCCTTGCATAGAAATGTAGTGACGTGGTCTGACCATGCAGTAAGTGCAAACAACAATTGTTCAAGTGTCTTAGGCATACTGGCAAGAAGCACCCCAGTCTTCAGGTCTGGGAAACAGCCGTGCCCTTTATGGCCTCCTAGTCAGCTCCATGTTCCATCTAGTAGCTTATATGCCCCAAGAAAGGGCAAGAGACACATCTGGGTTGGGAAAAGAACCAGGGTAATAGCTGCCTGCCAGCTCAACCTAGAACTAGAAGTCCTCTGGTCCTGTCTAGGGAAGTGCACTGCGGGGTCTAGTGGGAGCCAGAGCTCCTTTGCAGGATTTCAGAGGCTTAGTATCAGCTGCTGGCCCTAACTAGGAAGGCCTCTCACTACTACAACCCCTCATACAAAGACAGTAGGTACTGGAAGCCCAAAAGTTGAGCCTGCTTGGCCTAGCTTGCCTGCTCTGTGGGCTCCAGGGATGAGTCAAGGCTGTGCACCAAGGGGGCTGTATGGCTTCAGCTGGAAGTCTATCCCCAGGGTAGTGACGCAGGGACTAACCCCTCTCATCCATTTGTTCTCCGTGGGTTTGCAGGCCTATGCCTGAGATGGAGGAGGAGGCTGGAGCCAAGCCTCTTGGCCTTTCTTCTTCTACCTCCATCTCCTCAGAGGCACCTGCAGGGCATGGACTGGTCCCCTGTGGCCTGGGCCCAAAACCATTTTCTTCCTGTAGATTAGAGCAGTCCATGGCCTCATGGGCTGGAGCAGCTGATAGGGCAGATGCCCGGAATGGCGGGATCTCTTTTACTCTGTACTTGAGACTACTTAGGCGTGGTGGGGGCCCATCAGATAGCGATTCTTCCCGGCTCACAAATGGACAGGCTTCTTGATGCAAAAACTCGGGCGAGCCAGGCAAGGAACGCCAGCGGCGGGCAGGTGGGGCCGAGGGCTCTTGCCAATCAGCCAGAGGCATAGTTCCGGGCCCCGGTGCATCCAGGTCAAATACCAGGGAGATGACAGACTTGCTGGGCAGGTCAAAGAACTTGATCTTGCCACCCTTGAGGTCCTGGCGAGCACTGAAAGGGTTGACTTTGGGGGCACGGGCAACACCATCTCGTGGCTGGTAGTAGGGGTCCAAGACGCTCACTGTACGTGGAGGCTTATGGGAGAAGATGTCTGATTGGCTTCGAGACAGCCAAATGGTACGCCTGGGGCGTGGTGACTTGGGGGGGATCTTGTCTTCCAGTGAACTCAGTCGCTTCACCCCAGGCACTTTCTCCAAGAGTCCTGAAGAAGAGCAAGTTAAGTTTGGGTTACTCTGATCAGTCATAACATTGAAGCAGCACTTACTGCAAAGTGTTTTCACTCGCAAAAGCAAAGTAGGCATTTTCAGCAAGGAAGAAACAGTGAAGGGAAACAATATGCCAAGCCACAACTATTAAAGAGGCTGGTACTTTTTCCATCATCTCGTTTCCCTCCCCATAGCTTCTGGACTTGGGATCTCACGATCACAGCACAAGAGGGGAAGGGCCCACATCCTAATTTCTTTTGTCCCTTTGGGATTAGAATGGATGCTCTGGTCTAATCTCTTACCCTTGGCCATAGGCTGCAGCTTTCTGTCTGTCTCCTGCTCTTCTTCCTGTAGGCGACTCAGAATTTCCTCCAGGGTCTTCCCGATCTCCACAAAGGATGGGCGCAGTTTGGGGTCCATCTGTAGGCATCCACACCAGCTATTAGTTCTGCCCTTCGTCTCCCACCCAAAGGATGGCATTTGAGTCTGTTTCTGACATCTTTTAAGATTCAGATGTGCAGCTAACAGATCTTTCCTGAAGTCTCTAAACATGAGGGTGATCCCCAGGGCTAAGGTCAGGGAAGATGCTATTGTTTACCCTCCCTATCTCAGTCCCCTTTGTGTGTGTCTTATCACCCTGTTGGCACAGAACCCTCCAAAGGTATGTTCACATTGGTCTATTCTTTTCTTGAGTTCTGCTGCTAATGTGTTTCTGGGAGGTACCTGAACAAAGTCCAGCTACCCTCTTGGTCCAGCCCCAGAGCTGAATCATGTAGGCTAATAGCCTTTTTCATGTACCTCAGGTCAGTAGGATCCACAGCACAACAATAAAACCTTGCCAGAGCTCTATCAACACCCAAGGCAAGGGGTGGTGGATCTATCCTGCAAGCTGAGGAACAAATAATACAAAGAAATATTTTTCTTTCCTTGGACCAGGACACTGGAGAGCCTGGCCAGGTCCCAAGGGGAGGAGGAGGAGGTATGGTTGCTGTCACTCCAGTAAGAATGAGGCCCCTCATGAAGCTAATTAGCATCCTCTCCCTATAGTCCTGACCAGGTGGAAGAGGTTCAGCCAGCCCCCTAACCAAAACGGGGAGACTCACATTACAACAGTTGAAGGTAAGCTGCAGAAAGTCTGGGGGACAGTCTCCCACCATGTGCTGGAACGCGTCGTAGTCCAGCCCGAAGTTCTGTGGATGAGTATGGTGGGGAGGGTATAGGGGACATGGGTAGACATGTCATTAGCTTCAAACAGCACCATCCCAGTGCCACTGGTCCCCATGCTTGCAGCTCACCTCTGTGCGGGGAAGATAATCCGGATCAGCCTGGATCCGGGCGATGATCTCACAGAGGATGATACCATAAGAGAACACATCCGCCTGGTGGGTAGTCAGACTTTGGTTTCCCTCTCAGTGAGGTGAGGAGTGGAGTATCTGCCCCCCCATGTCTAACAGCATCCATATTTCATTCAAGTCAGTCACTGGTCAGCTGCCTAGGTACTAGCCCTGCTCTTGGCAGGAACACCCTGAACATAAAGGGTGATCCTGGACACGTTCTGCGATTCTAAGGAGAACCAGGCCTTGAGATCCTCCAGACTTACCTTCTCATTGTAGGGCTCATCTCGGAGAACCTCAGGTGCCATCCAAAAGGGTGATCCCACTACAGCCAGCTTCTCACTCCCTGTGCTGTAGTAGGGCGAGATGATACAGAAAATGAGCTTGCCATGGGCTGGTACAATGGGATCTTTTGACCACTGGGAATTCCTCTCCCCCAAGAATGGGTACAGACTAGGACTGACCAAATTTAAGGAGCTGAGGTTGAGCTGTGACCAGTTCCTGGTCTCTGGGAAGGAGACTAGAATTTTTCTCTTAGCTTCAGCCCCTCCTTGGACCCAGCATCCATTAGGGCTACATACCTGACATCAGGGATCTTCTCAGCCAGGCCAAAGTCAGCCACCACTGCAGAGTAACCATTCTCATCCCTCTTTATCAAACAGTTCTAGGGTTCCCAAAGAAGAAAAGAAGATAAAGAAGATACTATGGCTCAGAAGTGGGGATCAGCTAGCCATAGAGTTACCACCTGCTCCCTCCCTTTCTATCACAGGGCACCTCTTCTCCTTGGTGAACCACACTTTTTTAATTTTTTTTTTGAGTTGGAGTCTCACTCCATCACCCAGACTGGAGTGCAATGACCGCTCCAGCGATACTTCCGCCTCAGCCTTCTGAGTAGCCGGAACTACAGGCGCCACCATGCCTGGCTAATTTTTGATTTATTGTAGAGATGAGGTCTCGCCAAGTTGCCCAGGTGGGTCTCAAACCTGCGGGCTCAGGCAGTCCACTCACTTCGGCCTCCCAAAGCATGGGATTACAGGCTGAGCCACCGAGCCTGGTCGGTGAACCACACTTTTAGTCTGGCCTTAGTGTCACATATGGGAGCTCTAAGACAACCAAGTGAGATGAGTTAGTCCTGAGTCTTGGGTGGCTAGGATTCACTTCATACTCCAGACAGTTATATGCCTGTCTTTGCTTTCTAAGGGTTAGGCATCGTTTTAAGTGCCAGAGGTATCTAAGTGAACAAAACCAAAACCTTTGTCCTCTTGGAGCTTACAATATAGCAGAGGAAGACAGTCCCTGATCTTCCTTCCTTCTTCCTCAGAATGCAGAGATCAAACCATAGGAAATGTATCCAAGTCTATAATTTTACTCTCACAGCATCACAACCAGCTTGCTCTCTGACATTGAAAATCTATGATCTGGGCTGGGCTCGGTGACTTAGCCTGTAATTACACCACTTTGGAAGCCCGTGGGTTTGAGACCAGCCCAGGCAACTTGGCAAGACCTCATCTCTACAATAAATCAAAAAATTAGCTGGTGTGGTAGCGCACGCCTGTAGTTCTAGCTACTTGGAAGGATTGCCAGAGCCCAGCAGGTGGATGCTGGGGTGGCTGTGAGTGTGCCACTGCACTCCAGCCTGAGTAACAGAGTGAGACTCCAACTCAAAAAAAAAGAAAAGTCTATGATCTGGCCTGGTGTGGTGGTTCAAGCTTGTAATCCCAACACTTTGGGAGGCTGAGGCGAGAGGATTGCCTGAGTCCAGGGGTTCGAGACCACCATGGGCAACTTGTCGAGACCCTGTCTCTACAGTAAATAAATTTTTTAAGAAGGTTGATTTAACAAGCCTGAACAGGCCCTTCAAGCCTTTGCCTTTGCTTATACTGTTCCTTTCCATTAGAAATATTCTACCCCGCCCAAAAAAGAAATATTCTCCCAATTATCCTAAAATATCCATAAGAAAATTTTATGTGTGTGTGTTTTTTTTTCTTTTTTCTTTTTTTTTTTCTTTTTTGAGTCAGAGTCTCACTCTGTCGCCCAGGCTGGAGGGCAGTGGCATACTTCTGGCCACCGCAAGCCTCAACCTGCTGGGCTTAGGCGATCCTTCCGCCTCAAACTTCCAAGTAGTTGGAACTACAGGTGCACAACACCATTCTTGGCTAATTTTTTGATTTATTATAGAGACAAGGTCTCACCAAGTTGCCCAGGCTGGTCTTGAACCCCTGGGCTCAGGCAATACTCTCGCCTTGGCCTCCCAAAGTGCTAGGATTACAGGCTGAGCCACCACGCCCAGCCAATTTTATGTCTTTTAAAGTAAGCTATCTTTTCAGCCCTGACCTCAACCCCTCCACCTCTCCCCCTCTCATCTCAACTCCTTTAGCTCCTCCTCTATGCCACTTCCTCTGTCTATCCAGAGAGGCTGTGAGTTTCTCAGGAGCAGATCCTAGTTTGAGCCTTTCCCTTCCTCACAGTATTCAATTCACGGGAGAGGCTGAGGGCATGCTCACTGAACAAATGTTGCTGTCTTCTGAGAAAGGGTGAACCCAAATGACTTGTAAATAAGCACAAAGCAGCAACCAGCTCTCCCCAAATAGCTGCCTTCAAAATCGTCCTACACCACTCTGGCTCAAGAGGCACCTCACCCCACCCCCCTTCCTCCAGAGGCTGCAGAGACCAGGGATCCCTGGCTCACAGAAACATTTCTGGAGCCAGCAAGGCCCTATCTGACCCAAACCAGCCCTTCCTCCTTGCCAGCCTTGGCATCTAGTTGCTAAGACATTGCCAAGTTACCTCCTGCTTGCTTCCATCAGGTACAAATCAATCTCATACTTTGGCCTTGACATGATAATAGTATTCCCTTTCCCCAAGCTGGAAGAAGCCTGTGATTTCATCACATCTACCCTGGATCCCAGGTAGATATGCATCATCGCTGGCTTCTAAGCAGGACAGTCCTGTGCTTGTCCTGGCTTTCACTCTCCCATCAGTCAGCTGGCTCAGCACCCCTGGCTCCTTGATGTTTGACTGTCTGTGAGAAGATGTGCCCTAGGCCAGCCTGCCTATTAGACAGCCAAAGGCCCAGCGATAGGACACCAACCTGGGAGGCAGTTGCAGCTCAGATCTGTCTCCTATTTCCCCTCCTAGACCACTTTTAAATGAAAGCCTTGCTTAGAGTAAGCAGTAAGACAGATCCAGTCAGACTTCCCTGAGGCAAGAGGAGACCTTTTCACGTTCAAAAAGCAGCCCAGGCACTGCTGCCGCCTGGTTCCAGTTGTTCTTTGTCTTCACCCCTATCATAATACATCACACTGCAGCAGAGTGACTTACATGTTTGTCTCTTCAAGGGCAGGGAATGATCCCATTCATCTCTGTATCTCTAAACCAGCACAGACACATAGAAGGAGCTTGGTAAAAGTTTGTTAAATGAAAATTTGGTCTAATGACTAAAGCAACTGAGCTTCTCTTAAAAGTATGTTTCAGATATACTAATCATACTTTCGACTCTCCACGGTAATAATTGAGTTGACAAGGATCTCAAAAGGGTGGCCATGGATCCACTTCCTGGAAACCCACACGAATTCTTCAGAAGCAGTACAATCAGTATTGACACTGAATAAAACCACCTGAGTGGAGAAATGCCAAGTCTATTTGTTTATTCTATGCTAAAACTACTTTCTGCAACAACACAAAAGGTTTTCAATGTTTCATTACATCTTTCCCCTTACCCCCAATAAATTCACTCCACAAACCAAGTTAGGATCAGGCAGGAAAAGACTGACTCTACAGCTCAAGAAAAGTTCTTTTCACAGCATAGGGAAATCAGTGACTCCCTCCATGATTACTCTCCTACATGCTTCAGGGACTGCTACAACCCAAGTCTCTTAGAAGATTAGCTCTTTTGTGGTGATGTGTGCCATCCCTTGCCCTCAGTCCTATCATGTGATCCCATACTTTTACTATTGCTCTTGTGTAAAGACCTGTTCACTTCTCTCTCTCCACAACTACAGTAGGAACCCATGGAGGGTACAGATTGGATTCTAGTCACTTCTTTTTTTTTTT